CCACCGAGCGACAGCGAGCCCGCCTCCTGTGCCTGGGCAGCTACTCCCGGGTCTTCAGTGCCCTTCTGGCCCCACACACGTCACGCTGGCCCCGTCTGCTTTGCAAACAGAAGGCGGCCCTCACCCTCCAGGCCAGCCCGCCCCCCGGCCACTGCGCCGCTTTCCTCCGGGACACGTCACCCGCATCAGCTCACACGGAGCCGTGTGCTTGACCGAGATCACCCTTCCCGGCAACGAGTGAAATACAAAGATCACCGTTGCCCCACCAGACCCCACGCTCCCTGAGGTCAAACGCCAGGTGTCCTTCTCTTCTGTGTCCCTAGCACGGCACAGAGTCAGTCCACCTCAGTCCTCGACGAATAGTCCTCAACTAAAGGGGTGACTGAGAGAAAGTCTCCACCCTCACGGTGCCGAATGCCGTTCCTCGAGCACAGCGCGTGTTCGGGAAACAGTCTTTAATCGGACGGGCCCACAGCCGGTTCCCAGTCACGAGCGAAGGCCTGTTACTGACGAAAGATAAGGGCACCAATGGGTCGGCTCGCCGCACAGCGGGCGAGGCATGGGGGCCGGGGGCCACCACCACCCCCCTGCATGTCGTCTGCACAGGGAGGGGAGCTGCTGAACTGGGACCCTGCCGGGCCGGTCAGGACCGTGAGCCCTCAACGCCCAGCGTGCTCAGACGAGAGGGACAGGGCCGACGGGTAACTTGGCGACCCCTTGGTTGCTCCACAGAGGTTGGTTTCCTCCGAGAATAACTTGCCAGGAAAGAAATTCCATCTTGTCAGGTCTTCCCCACCCACCAAAGGGCAAGGTGACCTGACTCGAAGGCACAGAGCAGTGACACCTGCCTGGAGGGCTGTCACTCGGACATGAAATGACGCACGGCTGTGGCAGAGCTGGCTGTCTGCCCAGCCAGGCTCCCTGCTCCCTTCTTGGGCAACGAGGAACCTCAGGTCGGCTTAGGGACCAGTGTGGCCGGGCCCAGGCGCTGAGTCACAACCGGTCCCATCCCGGGGCCGCCATCAGGATCACGGGACGCGTGTGAGGACAGACTGTGCCCCTCCCCTACCCCGAGTTTCCAGGGAGGGGTCAGGGAATCTTCATTTCTAGCCAGTTCACAGGGGATGCTGATGGTCAGGGGGCCGGCTAAGTGATCTGGACGATTCTGCCCCATTCTCCCAGACATCCGTGCAGCTGGCAGTGACCTCGGGGCACAGGCCTAGTCGATGACATGGAAGCAGAGGGTTCCTGGGGGTGTTTCTGGGAAAGCATTTTGTCCTAACGAGGAGGGACAGATACAACACGAGACCCCGAGTGTGGGTCTGAGGAACAACAAGAGCTGCCCAGGGCTGAGCAGGGGACGTAGGGATTCCAGGAAAAACTATGGCAAACACGAGAACCCGGGGCCACGCGTGGGTGAGTTCCCGGAACACGGGACGGCAGCAAGGGAAAGGCATGATTAG